GATGAAGCGGAGTCCAGCCTGGGGTCGTCACATGCGGTTGCCGCAAGCCCACCGGATGCTCCTTCGTCGAATCCGCCAGCCACACCGTTCTCAAGCCCGCTGGCCTCCGCATACTCTAGGCCGCTGCTCACTCAAGGCGTGTGATGCTGTTTCGTTGTGAAAGTGAAACTACTCTGTTTGGCCTTCCAAAAGAGTAGTTTCCCTTTTCCATATTCTTAAAGTGCATATGGCTCCAATATGAAAACCCTCTTATCAAAGCTTTCAAACAGACAGCCTGTGATCGCTGCATCTTGACCCATATTGAGAGACAGAAGTGCATTAGTTTATAGGCTCTCTAATTGTTTAAGAATTTTTTTTTTTTTAAATGTGTCAATTTTAGAGTCAAGATAAATGTTAATAACAAATAATATATAATATAATATTGTTTAATATTTAATTATATAATAATTTTAAATAATATTTAACATTAGTTTGCATTTGGAAAATGTCCATGCCAATTTATGTTAACTATAATTATGATAACAATTGTCATATTTAAAATGTAATAATTATTACATAAAATATATTATTATATCATATTTGTGAAAAAAGTGAACCCAGAGTCTGTTGCTGTCATAATGCATGTTGTGCATTGATGAAGTCATGTGATTATGTAATAACTGTAACAGCCCTGTTGACATTGCAGCTGAAACATTCCTGAATGATTCAGTACCAAATCGATCAGTTGGAAGCTGAGCAGAATGTATTTTGTTGAGAGATATAAAGCTGGGAAAAAATACATAAAAATATTAGATGGAAAAACTTAATAAAATGTAACTATAACTGAAATAAAAATCAATTACAGCTACATATTTTAAAATGACAAAAACACATGACAAAATTACTAAAACCAAAATTGAAATGAAAACTTAAAAATATAAAAATAAAAGCAAAATCTTAATAAATTCTATAATAGTATAAGAAAAATACTAAAATATCAATTATATAATGATTGGTAGAAATGTATTAATTAAAAACATACCCTTATCTAAAGTCTTATCAAGTATGTTGTGTGTCTGGACATTTAGGATTCTTCATTTTTTTTCTTTTCTTTCTTTTGAATCTGCGCTGAAATATGACCCTGACATGTTCTTGAAAGGTTTTGGGGAGATTCACCCTTTGAAAATTCTTTCTTTCTCTATGAGCTTCCAATTCAGGCAAAGCACATTATGTGTGATTAGAGGTTTGACACTGTTTCTTAAGCTTTGGCGATCTGTGAAAACAAAACAACACATTAAGCACTAATGCTCAGCTAGAGGTCAGGGGAACGCGCCGGCCTTTGGCCTGAGGGAAGTTAACAAGCGTCTAGCTCAGCTCAGTATGTGCTGAGCCCAGTGCTAGACCTGTAATTACCTCCGAGCTGTTATTAGGTGCTGGGCTAAAATGCCTGACCACGTTAACAGTATCGCTTAAAGAATTATAATAACACAGCACTGTCCAGCTGCAGTTTTTCATCTCCCCCTCTCTCAACCCTCCTTTTGTTTACCGTTGGTGTAATTAGACATCGGTGAGCTCGGGGGATGGAGGTTTAATAACCACAGTGATGAAAGACAGGAAGAGAGATAAACTTCACATGGACGCAGACAGCACTCGCATTCTCTTTCAAGTTATCATGGGAGTGGGGTGAGACAGCTTCCCTGCCTCAGCTCTTTCCAGGATGGATGTTATTCCATGCTGAACACCGTGTCCATTACTCCAGCATGCCGTCACCGCCAGGAATGTCATTGTGTAATTGCGCCAAAGAAAAGATTTTTGTAAGAGAGGGTCTGTGAGATTTCATTGCAGTTACCATGTTTTTGTCTTTTGGTCAAGAAACCACGTGTATCTTGGCATGTGATTTTGACAATTTTTGGCTGTAACTGTCAAATTAAACAGGTCATAAAGCTAATATAATTATTTATATTAATGGTTCTTTAACATCTGTGTTCTTCCACTGATGCGGACCAATGTTCTATATATGATTCATGACTCATGACTGTATTACAGTAATGAGAAAATAATTCAGTCCTCTTCCTTTAATTAGTAAATCAAGTATGTATTTAGGACTAATTATTGGTTAATTATTTTAGCATTATTTTAGTAAAACTATACTAAAAGTATTATTACTTGACCTGTTATAGAATCAGAATTAAGTAGAATCAAGTCAAAGGTAGAATAATTAAAGGGATAGTTCACCTAAAAATTTTAATTCAGTCATCATTACTCGTGTTCCAAACGTGAATGAGTTTCTTTATTCTGTTCAAAACAAAAAAAGATATGTTGAATAATATTGTTAACCAATCAGTTGATGGTAGTATTGACTTTCATAGTATTTTTTCTCCATACTTTTGTATTCAATGGCTGAAATTCTTACAGGTTTGGAACAACCTGAGGGTGAGTTAATGATGACAGAATTTTCATTTTTGGGTGAACTATCACTTTAAATGACTTCTAATTGTCATTACTACATATGATAAGCAGTCAGCGGTCTTCACTCGAAGGCCAGAGGCCCACAGGACCCACTCACAGCAGTAACAGTGTGGCATTAAATTTTACAGGCAGGAAGAGAAGCGCTTTATGGGGTACCGCAAATCTGGCCTTTACACTCAATGAAACTCCACACTAAATATCTGCTTTACTCCTAAAGAGCCCTTGACTGTAAATAGTGGCAGTAAATAAAGGAAAGGTGGAGGTAAACAAAACAGTGTGTGTGTGTGTGTGTGTGTGTGTGTGTGTGTGTGTGTGTGTGTACAGGTTTTTCTACACTGGTGGGGACTTAAACCTGAATACACACCGACTCATGGGGACTCGTGTCACCGTGGGGACCTAAATTGAGGTCCCCATGGGTACAGAAGCTTATAAATCATACAGAATTTTTGAGATTGTAAAAATGCTGAAAGTTTTCTGTGTGGGGTAGGTTTAGGTGTAGGGTGATAGAAAATACAGTTTGTACAGTATAAAAACCATTACGCCTATGGACAGACCCTACAAGGATAGTGAACCAGACGTGTGTGTGTATGTGTGTGTGTGTGTGTGTGTGTGAATGCAATGTGTTTATCCATGCATGTTTTTTTTTCTCTCTCATGTATGTTGAATACACAGATGCATCATATTTAGGTGAATCTCACAGAAACAGTTCCAAGTCAAGAAGTTATATTCTGCATAAAGATGAGGCCTTTTTTAAGGCTATTAAGATTTCCATTATATACAGTATGTATATATATATATAGTATATATATATAATTATACATCCGGGGGTTTACGTCTGTGTTTGTTTATAATTCTCAGTGATGAATGCAGTCCAGACAAAATAGACACTATGGCATATTAATGTTATTGGTAGTAAGTATTGATCCTAAAAATGGCTTTTTTTAAAGCAAAATATAATATCTTATTTTTGCCTTTAGAATTTTGGAGAGAAATATAACCAAGACATGCTCTTGAGGTCCCAAAAGATTAACCTGTTTAAGAAGTTGGACAACAAACTTTAAAAAGTACAATATTCTTTGTTTATTTTAAAATAGACGGAGTATAGCATGTCACACCACAGGACGTCATATGTATGCTTGTGTGTGAAACTAGTGTGTCAAAATCTGCCATTTTTGGGTTGTAGTTTGGCCTCATTCTCAGGTCCGTGGTTAGGTGTAGAACATTCTTGACTATAAATGTCGCAGTTGGGGGTCTGTAAAAGACAGGTTCACTGCTTGGGATCAGAGAGGAAGGGGACCCCTGGGGGACCGACTAAAAGGCCACTCGGGAGAGCTTGGGGGCCACTCCTGCTGGCGGATTTATCTCAGTAAATATTTACCCTAGTCCTGCCAGACAGAGTGAGAGAAATACAAGAAGGGGTCTTACTTTGGGTGCTAAAAAAGGCCAGAGATTTCACACTATATTCCGAGCTT